AGATAGCAAGACGGGTCACCGTAAAGCTGGTTTCTCGTTCCTGCTGATCCCCATTCATGGCATCACATCCTTCATGCTTCCTAGTAGAAGTTACTCTTATGTACAGTCCTGATCCCCGATTCCTGGCCGGATTATTGCCCCGGAAAAAGGTAGCGTGACTGGTGGCAGGGTCAATCCTCACTCCCACCCTCGATTGAGTGAGTTCCCCCATGCAATTATGATAGTCCGTCTTCTCTGTGTCACTTTTGTTTACGGGCATTAAAGCACTGATGCCCTTTCCACCCAAGTGAAAGAGATCGAAGCTTGGCTGAAGCTGGAAGAGAAGTCGCGGAACGGCGATACTCTCCCTTTCCTCGTTTGCAGCAGGCAACTGCGTATCGCCAGAGAAGAATGCCCCCACAACTACTCTCGTCGAGTCCTGGCCTTGGTGTCCCAGAAGAAGAACAAGATGCGACCGATGTTTCGGATCGTCATGACGCATATGCTGTAATACATGGCCCAGATCAAGCCTGTCTGTCGAGTCATGACATTTGGAAAAGACGATCGGCTTAGTCTTTCGATGCAAATCGGTTCTCTGATGGGCCTCATACGGTGGAACGAACAATGAGACTGCACGAAGGATTCCATCCCAAATGGGATCTGGGGATGATTCCGTGTCTAAAGTTGACAACTCGGTGGACAGGTAAGGTTGGAAAAGTGTTGCCCAAAGCTGATGGAACCATTGCTCTAGATTTGGCTAATGTGCGCGACATTGTTAGTCAATCTAATAAGAATAGTAGAAAGACAGCAAAAAAGATCATCATTACCAAGATGTCTAGAGCCTCGAGAACCAAGTCAGGGGACAGGGACTCGTCCTGGTCATGGCTGAATGACCGGGCCAGGATGTTACCCAGTTCCTCCTTCTCTGGGCTAGACTCTGCCAAGGAACCGTAATGGAAGCCGCGACCCCAAGTCAATTTGTAGACTCTTAATCTCATGATCAGACAGAGTAGATCAGCCAAGTCTTTGACCTTCGTCTGAAACTGGACGGTCCTCCCTTCGAGTAAGCGTTCCGCCAGCGGCGTCAGCTTCTCGGGGGTTGCAGACAATTTGGGATGGGAAGGACATATTGTAAGCATAGCATCGATAGCATCTTCGGTAACGAGGGTGTCGAAACTAGTGGCGTGTGGATGTGAAGCCGGCTGAGGACTACCGAGGTCGATGCTTCGAAAGATCCGATTAATCCTAACTCTGCAGTTACATTTCTCCCGGAAAGCTCCCCAGCGACGACCGAAGTTGTCGTCTTCGATCCCGAGAAGCTTTGTGCCTTGAAGAGAGAGCAGGATCAGCGCACGCTCAAAGGCTGGCAGCTCTAGCTTTCTGTCTTCTGCTCCGATGAGTAGGAACGGGTGATAGGCGTAGAAGCAGAAGCAAGACCAGAGGACATCAATAGCTGTATTTAGGATGGTGGTATCCGGATGATTCCTAGCAAGGCAACTTTGAAAGCTCTTTTTCGTCCAGTCTGGAATAATATCCAAGTGTCTTCTTAGCTAGTGTCCAGTACGGGATATCCGATTCGCTCACTGAGGTGGATTCTCGTGTGGGTAGGAGTACGTACAAGGCTGCTCCTGGGACGAGTCTTGAATGCTATGTGTGTAGAAGATGTCCCGTGGTGTCACTGTGCTGCTTTCTTCTTGGAGTAGACAAGTATGTAGCTGTGAAAGCACAGAATCTGAACAACTCTAGTCAGCACCATTCTTTCATCCCTCGACAGTACCAGCCATTTACCGACTAACCCGGTGTGGTAGTACGAAGGAATTGATCAAGCCTCTTCTTCTGATCTCTAAAGAGTATGTTGAAGGCTATCCTATCCAAGACGGCCATCATGACTGTTGTTCTGAATGTCCCTCGGGGGAAGAGGAAGCAGTTTAACTTCGAATTCCTTTCTTCATACAACAGGCGTCGTAAGTCTTATGGATCACCTTGGAGACAATGATTAATCAATGGGGCCAATGCGACATGGGGGCTATGGCTAAGGCGGCTGAGGCGGAGAAGTCAGCAGCTACAAATTAGATAGGTTAGTACCCAAGAGCCTCTCCACTGCGAAGACTACTAGAGGAATTGGTGCCTATTTATTCCACTTACTGTCTACAGACCAGTCACATTGTCTTATTCGCCGGCTAACCGGCTCAGCCTTGTTACTGTTAGTGGCACCTAGCTGGGATTCTGAGAGTACCTACCTCGCCTTAGCACCTTCTTAGTTCATTGCGGCTACTTCATCTCGCAAGGCGCAACGGACAGGGCTGGCCTGATATCGGTCAGTAGTAGCCCATGATGGGGACTACATTCAAGTAGTAAAGAGACCATAAGAAGGTCTTCTACAGCCTCTGAATTCGACTTTAGACCCTTGTCGGAGCTTCTCATTCACATGCTTCGATGATTGACAGGTTATCAAGCAGCTTACCACAAGATTTTACTCACGTCATCTTGGAAGGATCACAGAACCACTGGGCTGTGCACCCCTGCCAAGTAACGGTTGTGAGATGCCCTCATATTGAAGAACTGGTCAACGCAGTACTTTAAGGCGCTAGGCGATCCTAATAGGGGCCAGATTCATCGGAATCCTGCGGATCATCCTTAATCCCTATGCAACAAAGGCAAATCCCCGTGACCCTGTAACATGTCTACGATCTAGTATCATCTATCTAAATATAAGGTGGTCTGGTTCTGCATTACCAATGATGATAGATAACCTACATGTACTCCTAGCCACGGTCAACGAAGTATTTAACCACTTCAATTCCTCTTATCTCCAAGAAATATAGTAAGTTATGACACCAAAGGCTTTAACGATCGAACCAGTGATAATCCAGAAGCAAAGTGGACCCTGAAGCTGCCCGCCCCCAATACTCGATGGGTCCTCGCTGTCCTAGACGCCTGTAGGGCTCTTCAATCCAGATTAATGCTGTTGGTTCAGGATCCAGGTATAGAATGCTAGTTGATCTGACCCGCCCTAAGTCGAAAGTATGACTTTACAGCCCCTGATATTCGTTCAATATGTCACTGGATAGTCCAATGCAGCGCAATACCACTCTGGTAGCTATCGAAATCGCCCCAATCCTTTCAATGCAGTGCCTCGATACATAGAAGAGCAGCAAATCTATATAATTCCAGTTTGTCTGTTCCTCTTCGTTGTTCATCCATCCGTTCATTCTACTGTATAACACTCATTTACTATCAGCCATTGCCCTCATCACGCTCATTCTATAGACCATTCGTTCTTTTCTTATATTGTTATTTTCAATAATTCCGGAATATCCTTGCCGTCGGCCTATTTGGTGACAAAATGTGGTTCAACCTTACCACCAATCAGAAGGCCTTCGCCTTAGCTTCTTTGCTCCTAACGCCCGGTGCCTTAGCAGCTGCTATACCTCCAAGCGAAATCAACTCGGAGTTGACGACACCCTCATTTGTCGCTGGTGTTCCGACGAACACACACGTCCCTACAACTGGAGCGGATGGAAGCCTAACCTCCGACCCAAATGTAGGTGTGACCTGTCGGGTGAGTACCAATGCACTGCCTTTTCTCTTCTTATTTTCCTTTTGTCGCTATTTAGTTCTGACATTCAATTCCAGACCTGCCATAAAGACGGTTCCCCGAAGAGCATCTGGGAAATTATTGCTTCCCAGCCGAATGCTGCTCCCAGATCCGTCGACGGGGACCTTTCCCTGACTGAGAGAGACGACGATGCGGAATCTATCACTGGCCCCCGCGGGTACCAGCCTTCCATCTCTGTTGACGAAGCCTCGTCCCTAACAGAGCGATCAAATGTTGATGCGAATGACATTACTTCCGAATTTCGAGAGGAGGACACCCTAAGCGGAAATTCAGATGATGATGTTGCTCCATCCAAGACTACACGCCAGCCGACGACCGAGGTGAAACGGGCTGCAAAAGTCACCGGGGATGCGAAATATAAGAAGCTTAAGGAAGCCCTCGGGAAAACACCAGAAGTTGGCCAGGGCTATGCCATTAAAATCAGTATGTACCAAGAATTCTCCGTTCCCAACTTGTCATACTCTCATCCCAGATGCATTTTGCAGCAAATCTAATTTGAAAAATCTCTTTAGGGAGTGAACGAGCTCGAGTCGCCGGCAAAAAGGTTCCCGATCATTACCTGATAGCTGCAGGCTACGTGACCGAGCAAAAAGAAGGTGGCGTCACCTATCTCAGGTTCTCGTCGGGATGCTGGGACATTCAGCTCGAGGGCAAGAAGATTGTGTTCACAGACCGTGGTGCCAGCAGCTGGTATGATTGGAGCGAGACTAAAATGGAGGTGCTCGGTAAGATCAGGTCGGGCGTGGACAATACGGAGATCGAGAGATATGGGGAACAGATTGCCGCCAAGATGAATAAGAAGGGTTATAACACCCTTTTTAACAATTGTCGGGATTTTGTGCTTAAACTGTATGCCGAGATCAAGGCTTGATTGGAGAGTTTAGTGTTCGGGCCAGGGTTTCTGCTGGTTATATCATGTTAAGAAGTGCTCGGACATGCATTCAAGGATCACTCTTTTTGAGTATGATAGCTTAGAGATATCTAAATGCTAGGTCGTTTTAAACTTCCTTCCAGCGAGTCACAACCTTTCCAGCATTTAGTATATGTAGCCATAAACTAGTCCTTTGTCGGACATGATTTAGAATGTGTGTTTTGTTACTGTCCGGCGTTATTCCATAGCAGTAGACTGATTGATCAAGGGAGCGCGTTGTGGCCCAGGATTAATTGATACATGGGGCCTATTGCTAGTGACTAGTACATGGGACCCACGCCAATATTGGCCAGGTGGGGGCCGGAGCATTAACAACTCAAGCCTTTGGCGCTTAGTTACTAGTAGTGCTTATTTATATACAAGAGTTTTGAATGGGGGCCAAGGAATGCCACACACTCAACCACACATGTCCAATGTTATCTATTTCCTGTTGGTGAAGCTGGTCTAGTTTCTGGTAAATAATGACTGGGCCATATTTCAAATAGTATCATATTCGATATTCTGAGTCATTCCACTACACTGTGATGTCTGCACTAGTGACCGAGAAAATAAAAAAGAAACAGGTTTTCAACTTCGAGTATTCACTCGAGTAATCATCCGAGCATAATAAGTACAGATGATTTCCACGTACTAGCAAGTACCACGTCCATCTCAACCTGATCTCATCTCATCACCTCCCACTTAGCCTTGCACCAATTGAACCCAGCTCTGCCAGTGGAGCTACTACAATGCATGCTCTACGATATACCATGCCTCGCAGCCCGCGGACCCATGACACTTTTCGAAAGCCTCCTCCTTTAACTTCTTGGCTTCCTCCTCCTCGGCCTTTTTCTCCTCGGAGGTTAGCTTTTTGGTCTCGGTCCCTGAAAAAGGTTTTCAGCTTTCGTTAGCCTCGCAACAGGATAAACCCAGAATATAGTTAGAGAAGCAGGGAGCAATGATCAAAATAGCACATACTTGCTGCGACAGTCATGCTCTCTCGTTTCACCTGCGTTGCGGATGCGTCGATAGTCTGTTCATTGTCTTCGCCTTCACGGCAAGACTGGAGATGATTGGGTTAGATTTCAGCAAGACTGAAGTTAACGGGGGCCATTAGCACTCACCTGACAGTCTGGGACACCTTCGTAAGAGATGGAGGCTGGACTGACATCTCCTTGACCAGAAGGGACTTGCCCGTTTGTTGGTGCCATAGAGACTGATGCCAGGTCAGGAAGGCTCGCGGGGATAGCAGCTGCTGAGACCCCAGATGCCAGGAGCAAAGAAGCTAGAGTAAAGGCCTTTTTCACAGTGATCTGTCTGGACCACATTTTGACAATGGATGTGTTGATGATGACAAAGTAACGACTGATAGTTGTGACGATGATGAAGAAGAGTAATGAGTGAAGTTTTGCGGTAGTAAAGGAGAGTGAGAGTAATAAAAGCAACAGCGGACAAACGAGGAGATTCTAAATGAATGATGGTCCAGTGATAGTAGCAATGAGGAGGGCATGACAAGGCTATATATAATTTCCTTGGCCTCCTAGTAGTATATAGAACTAGCAAGACACTTCATATAGTAGTTCTAGGACAGTAGTATTGGGGCGGTTTCAAAACTTACCAGGGTATAAAATTGCGCCAACTACTTACTGCAACATTGAAGGTGCACATCGAGTATGAGCAGGACTTGGGGGCCAGCATGTGCCCTCCAGTGTAGGGCATGAAGCCAATGTAATCCGTTGATTTCTGGTGATTTGGCCCCCGACCGTGGAAGCCTAGTACCAAGTGCTGCGTTATTTTCTCTGGAACCGAAGTACTGTTGCATTGAAGGGGCGGCAACGGACAGGGATCGTGGTGACAAGGCTGATCCAGAAGCAGCCGACAGACCTAGTAAACCCTGAGCAAAATCTATCTCTCTCTTCAGTCCTGCAGTGCCTACTCAGAGTATGCAGCGTGGCTGTCAACTATCTAGTTTACTGTAATAGTAGTAGCGAACGAAGATACATACGAGGTTTATGGTGCCAGCTGAGAAAGAGAAGCTCGGACAACCTTTCTACCATGTAGGATGAGATACACATTACTAGTGGGTAGCAGCAAGGCTGGGGCGAAAATAACTAGCGACTTTTCACCCATCTACCTACTATGTACGCCGTACGTGCTTTGAGTCTAATTAGGATGAACTCCGTGCGTTGCTCAGCCTCTCCCACAAGACCCACTTTCAATGGATCCCACGGGTCGTCCCACCGCCACTGATGCTAGATGCACCCAGCAATTCTCAGAAGACACTCGAGAGAGGTATTCTAGATCATATATCTTTACGGTAGAGGTTGATTGGTGGCAATGTGGTGTCAAATGGCCGATTCCTGGGGGTCTTTCTCCTGACATCCGGGGTAGAAGAGCGGAGCGGGAAGATCACTTAGCCGTTAAGTATCCGTCGCCAACCGTCAAACCAAGAAGGTGAGGTCTTCAGTTCATGATATAGCAGCATCGTGAAACCAGTTGCGGGTATTCAGCCGCACGAGTCTACTGGACTTATCAGGCAGAGTTCGTGCCAGAGAGCTGTGGTCTGTGGACTCTGTACTGGAATTTGCCATTCTCCGCATCATCCCGTTTGAACCGTTTGCAGCAGCCTCGGCTGCTTTTTACAGCAAACAGTAACCATTATCAGCCATAAAGGAAGCACTCTCTCACATAGCTGCAGATTTCTGTTTCCTCAATGATCTGTTTGTTTGCTGGCCTCTCCAAAAGACCGAAGGCTGGTTAGTAGAGTATATTTTAAAGCAAACTAGTGGTGAAGGTACTCACAAGTTTTCATTCAAGAGCCAGAGGGTAATTAGGGTAATCGCCTCACTCAGAAACTGGTATACACCTGTGGTGCAGCTTCATTGAGACTTGTAGAATCTTGTCCGTAGAGCCAAATACAATTTATTCGAACGTATTTTTGTCACAAATGGATAACAAGCATTGCCAGCAAGTGCCCTTCTACCGATTTGCATTATCGCATCTGCACATCCTGCAAGAACTTGGCTCTTCATATCAAGACTATTTCTGCCAATTGTCCATCGTCTGCTGGCTATTATAGAAACAAAATGGACAGAAACATGTGTGACAGCTTGATGTTCTAATACTTAGTTATGTGGCCTCGCTTAGTAAAATCACATTTCAGCAGTCTCACTGGCTTATTCATTAAATCACATTCTTCCTTTACCTTCTGTCGGAGCTTGATGAGGAAAGTACGAGCCCTAGAAGCTGTTGAAGACTTTGGGAAAGATCTTTGGCCTCAGTATGTATCTCCTGTGCCCTGAAGCGATTGGCATCCAGAGCACTCCGGAGTTTGAGGGGCAGCCCCACCGATAAGGGCCGGGCGGTTATCGGCGGCGTCTCCGGTGAGAGACTCCATGACTCTCTCTCTCTCTCTGTGTCTGACTCTTACGCTTCTCCCCTCTTCCCTCTTCCTCTCTTCCTCGCTCTTTCTTTCTTCCTTTCTTCCAATCCCTCCTGCTACCTATACTTCTCTGTGGCTTCCCTGCTCCCTTTATAGAGCAGATTAACACACCGCCCCCGCCTCCCCAAGATCACAGACCCCGCCATAAAAATGGCTGCCGCGGAGCTGAGTCAAGAGCAGCTGGACCAGATCTACGCCTTTGCGGTCGATCTGGGCCGGAAGGCCGGTCAACTTCTGATGGAAAGTGTGGAGAAGCGCATCGGCGGTGGAGCCACGCAGGAAGCTGAGGAGAAGGACAGCGCCGTCGACATTGTCACCCAGACCGATGAAGGTATGCTCTAACCCGCCCTCAGCCTGCTATCGACTCGCATCTCACCACTGGACTGCCCTGCACAGACGTAGAAGTATTTATTAAGAACGCAATCCAATCCAAATACCCCACACATAAGTATGTCCCTGAGTCATTCCCCAATTCACAAGCATCCCCCAGCTGACCCATTCAGGTTCCTCGGCGAAGAGTCCTATGCCAAAGGACAGTCGCGCGACTACCTCATCGACGAGCACCCAACATGGTGCATTGATCCCCTAGATGGTAATCACCATAGCCATACTCCCTCCCTCCCTCACATCAGGACATGAAATAACACCCCTCACCTGACCAGGAACTGTCAACTTCACACATATTTTCCCCATGTTCTGCGTCTCCATAGGTTTCATCGTCAACCACCGTCCCATCATCGGCGTGATCTACGCTCCTTTCCAGGATCAACTTTTCTCATCCTGTCTGAACCGCGGCGCATGGTTAAACGAGAAGCGCCGTCTCCCGCTCATCCGCAGTCCGACCATCCCACCCATGCCGCCCAATGCTCCCAGCAAGTGCATTCTATCCTGCGAATGGGGCAAGGACCGTCGCGACATCCCGGACGGGAACCTGTCTCGCAAGATTGAGAGTTTTGTGAACCTAGCAGCAGAAGTGGGTAGTCGCGGCGGCAAGGGAGGTATGGTGCACGGAGTTAGGAGTCTGGGTAGCGCTACGTTAGATTTGGCGTATACGGCTATGGGGTCATTCGATATCTGGTGGGAGGGTGGTTGTTGGGAGTGGTACGTTCTTTTTGCCATGAATCTTTTTATCCTTCAGAGTTATGTTTGGCTAATCCGAGTGTGTTGGGTAGGGACGTCGCAGCGGGTATCGCCATTCTCTTGGAGGCAGGCGGCCTGGTTACAACCGCCAATCCCCCGGAGGATCCGGACACTGCGCCCATTGAAGATGTTCGACTCGGCAGCCGACTCTACCTTGCCATTAGGTATGTCACACTCATTTTCTGCCTCGTGGCTTAGTACGGCATCTAACTGTAATAGACCGGCTGGTCCGTCGGCGACAGAGACCGGACGCCAGACGCAGGAGCGCACTGTGCGCGAAGTGTGGAAGCGCGTGCGACAGCTGGAATATACCCGGCCGGGCGCGTGAGCACCTCGGCTATAGATATACACCGTTATATACTACTGATAGAATATTCTTAATAGTTACTGTACAGGACAGAAGCGACGAGAATGAAAGGGATGAAGACATCATATTGCACTATATACAGCAGCCAGATCCGCGTATGTACCTAATCAAACACACGTCATATCTATCATCGGGCTTCTCTTCACTGAGCCCCGTTCCGTTATTTTTGGTCTTCCATAACACAAGCAATGCACCGGGTATGCGAGAGTCTATACAGGAATGAATCATCATGAAACATGTCGGATGTTGAAGGGATAAAGAAGGAGGCGAAAGGAAGAAAGCTCTACAGAGTAGACTTCTGCCTCTCAGCCAAATTCTTAGCCACAACATCCTTAACCATAGCCAACAAGCCAGGAACAGCCACCACATCCTTTCCAGTCCAAAGCTTGGCCTGCTCCAGACCCTGCCAGAGCAGCGCCTCCGAGCCAACGATAACCTTCCATCCCGCGGCATCAGCCAACTCGGCAATTTCCGTCCAGATAACAGGGTGGTAGCACATCTCCAGAATAACGCCCTTGGGCTTGCCATCCTCCTTGGCGCCCAACAACGCCGTCAGGACATTCCTGGCACGAATCTCCTCCTCGGTCTTAGGCGGGTAGTTGGGGATACCCGAGACAATAGCAGCGGGGCTCTCCAGGGTCTTCGCAACCTCGGGATCCGTAACGTGAATCAAGGGCGCCTTGTCCGCGGACGGATTGCGCTGCTGATCCTCCTCCATGATGGCCTGAACCTCACTAGCATCACGGTTCACAATGTAGATCTTGCTAGCGCCGAGCCACTTGCGCATGACATAGATGGCGGAGCGAGCGGTACCACCACCGCCGACAACGAGGGCAGGCTTGCCAGCGAACCGCTCAGCAGCGTTAGCGGTGTTCTGGGTGAGGGCTTCGCGAATACCGATGCAGTCGGTGTTGGTACCGACGTAGGAGCGGGAGCCGTCGGCATTGTCGCGCAGGAAGATGGTGTTGCAGGCGCCGGCTTGGCGGGCGTCTTCGGTGAGGTCGTCCAGATGCGGCATGATGGAGACCTTCCAGGGCATGGTGACGGAGGAGCCGACGAATTTGGGGTTGGCGCGGATGGAGGACAGGAAGGTGTCGATGGGCGGGGAGCGTGTGTACGGGGGAGGGTAGGTAGCGGAAGTGCCGCAGACACTGGAGAGGGGGATCTGAATCCAGTTCAGTCCGAGGTGGTTGTAGATAGCGGCATGAAGGGGAGGAGAGAGCGAGTTAAGGAGGGGGTGGCCGTAGAGGTAGGCGACGCCATCGCGGTCCTGGGGGATGGTGATGGGTTCCTCAGGTTGGGTGTTGTTAGAGGATGCCATATTGGGCGGTTTTGTAGGTAGTTAGTTAGCGATTTGTGGAGGATCGCAATGAATTGTAGTTTTTATTTTCGAGGAGAGGAAGAATTGGAGGGAGAGAAGGGGGGACTTGAGATGGGGAAAGAGAGAGAGAAGTAGGAAATTCAAGGGAATGTTTTAAGGGCCCCGCGAGCCACCGATGGCGGAGAAACGTTCGACGAAGGATGGATGCGGCAGGGTGAACCCTTTCCCGCGCTGAACTTCCGCCGGCCAAGTCCTTTCCCCAGCCTACTAAATCTCGTAGTTCAATCTCCCCCGGAATCTCCCCGAACTCAAAATCACGCGCATGACATTGAACCCATCACCAATGAGGTGCTGATCGGCTAAGTCCACTCCGTACTACTGCTGAGAATGCTCCGATGCTGCGGAACAGTTGAAATTGTGTGCCCCTGGTTGGAAACTCAGCACCCCGCAATTGTAACGCTTGGACTTTTTGGTTCAATATCCCGGGGTCTGATTACTGACATGGCCCATTCATACTGCTTCTATTACATGGTTTGAGTTCACGACCATGCACAAGCGCAACGTTAACGCCGACTGCAAGCATGAGCAAGGAAATGTTGCTGAGAGTGGACTTTTAGAGATTGCAGTCCTTCCACCAGCATGATAACTTAACAAAATCCCTCTTGGAAAATATCAACGATGCCAATAAAGTAGGTATACACACACACAGAGCACTGCAGAGATGAGGAAAATTGAACTCTCCACTCAACCATAGGGACCCACAGGTTTCATGCGCTACAAGAACTCCTTGGCACATGTTCCGCCGGTAAAGGGTTCATCTGCTTCTGCCCCGGGTATCCATCGCACGGGTTGTTCATATCCGGATTATCTGGGAGGAGTCTACTGAATTCTCCCAGTAAATGTGACCTTGCATACCTTGGGCAGGTAGTTTAGAATCAAAATCCATTTGGCAGCTATATAATGGAATATTAACTGGTGGGTTACTGCACTTTGAGGCCGACAGTATCCGCCTACCTACGAAGTGTGGAGGTGGAAGCAACTATGAAGCAGTACTACTGGTATACCAGATTTGAGCTTCCCAGGGTGATAACTTTTGAGGAGTGCAACCTGTTGCGAGCTGGCAATTGATGGATATGATAAAGTCACGTGATTACTATGCGGTTATCGAACCGGCGATAAACGCGCCGACGATTTTCCCGCCTGATAACGCCACCCTTGCGATAGTCACCGTCTACCAGTTCGATTGTCCAGCTTGTCCTCTCCCAGTCACTCTTTCCAAGAAGAAATGGTGACAGAGGAACAGTCAGCGACCCCGCCCGAACTCGGGATGGGCACACCTGGCGGTCCGAAGCGGACTCCGCTGACTCCAGAGCAATTGCGGAGAATAGTACATACTATGATCACGGTTCCTCTAGTTCGGAGCTAACACGATGCTGAAATTAGGAAAGCAACCGCCAGAAGGCCATAGCAATACGGGAGCAACGCGAAGCAGAACAGGCTCGGGCTGATCCTTCATCTACCAAAGGTGTCAAGCGAACGTACTCCTCCATGACTGCCTCTGATCCCCCGGCGACTCTGCGCGATGCGGCCTCTACAGATAACCGCCCACTAGATGGCATCAAGCCGGCGCGCAACTTTACCAAGTTCGTTGAATACGACTTCTCTAAAATCACCGACACGAAGGGTGGGTTCCTGACTGAAGAAGATGACCGGTTCAACAAAGCCCTTCACGTCCGGGATGAGAAGGCGGAGCAGAAGCCGGCGCACATGACGCAGAAGGAATGGGAGCGACAACAGCTGCTGAAGAATCTCCATCGAGATCGTGCGGGCATTTTCGAACCGGGGCTCAGTGTGTTGGATGAGCGGACGCAACAGAAAACATGTCGAGAGTGTGGCAGCTTAGAAATCGACTGGAAATGGGAGGAAGCTTTCCGATGCTGTGTCTGCCATGCTTGCAAGGATAAATTTCCGGACAAATACAGTCTGCTTACCAAGACCGAGGCACGAGAGGACTATCTCTTGACCAATCGTGAGTATCCCCCCCCCCCCCCCCCCCCCCCTCCCCTGCACAGGTTTGCGACAGGTGTTGTTGCCACTGAGCATTTTTGCTGATTACGGGACAACCTACAACAGCCGAGCTTCAAGATGAGGAGCTCCTCCCACATCTTGAGCGCCCGAACCCGCATAAATCAACGTGGAATAATATGATGCTGTATCTACGGTACCAGGTCGAAGAATACGCCTTTTCAGCCAAGAAATGGGGTTCGCCGGAAGCATTGGACGCGGAATTCGAGCGACGCGAGAATGAGAAGAAGCGCCGGCGGGAGGTCAAATTCAAGAGCAAACTTGAAGACCTCAAGAAACGTACACGAGTCGACGCATATCGACGAAGCCGTCAAGGAGCAGCCGGTGGTAATTTTGGGGATGACTTGGGGAGTGGTGGACGACATGTACATCAGTGGGGAAGATCGGTTGAAGATCCCAAGACAGGGATTGGGGTCAAGAAATGCGTTGACTGCGGGATGGAAGTCGAAGAACTCGAATTTTAAATCATTAATAAACATTTTCCTGTACAATACTGAGTCGTCGTCGCATTGTCCTGCTCTCATCTAGGTGTTGCAGATACCACTCGGTCGCCGATTACTGCCTCAGGTATTGATTGAAAAGCGCCAAGCGGCGTGGCTCCGCGTACTCTTACCGGACTGCCGCCCTCCGTAATCTACTGCTTCAGTATTTCTTGGTATCACCAATATCTCCGGCACCTGGAATAACAATGGGTATGTACAAACGAAAAGAAATACCAAGTACTCCGTATCCAAGGTGCATAACACCCCGAAAGCATACAAGGATGTCTGACTGAGAGTCACAAAGATCATCCCGAGTCAATGCCGCTTCGGCCGGGACTATACCGCATCCAGCCGACCCGGGGATCCACCCAGGTCCTTCGAGTTTCCCATCCGGGCAAGGAAGGGCTGTTACATGCGGAGACAAGCAAACAGAATGAATGGTTCGCAGTCTTCGGGGCTGCCTTCCCTCTTCAGACTGCTATGTCAGCGTTTTCTCTTCTTCTTCTCCTTCCTACTTTTTGTTTCTCCTCCCCTCCTCTTCTTCCCCGACATACACGGACCCTTCTGCCCACTCTTCATTTGCCTTCATCTGTTTTCATTATTGCATCATCTTTTCCTTGCTTCCTTGATTGACTACTACTGAAGACTGCAAAGCGTGCATCTGTTTGATGGATGTCATGATAAATGGATGGCATGAATACGCTCGCTGGAATGATTGGTGAAGCATTCATGGGAAATGGATTATTCAAAAGACGACGATATATCGACATCTGCTAACACTCGCTGGTCGCTGAAAAGCAAAAGAAATAACAGGTGCAATCGAATCAAGAATATACAACCAATGACCCCGCCGCTAGACGTCGGTCTTGAACGATGTTAGGCGCGCCTTGAGTTCCGCTTCCGTCTCATCAATGTCCAGCTCTCGAAGAACACCGCTGCCGACATCATATATCAACCCGTGAACCTGAAGACCCCGATCCTGTACGGCTTCCAGGATTACATTCTTCTCCTTCAACAGTTTGACACCCTCCAGAACATTCAATTCCACCAGCTTTAGGTTGGCTTCGTCGGCCGGCAGCGAGTTCAGCAGATCCAGGTGTCTCGCGCGGAGCTGGCGCAAAGGCAGCAGCCAGGGATCAAGAATACCCAGTTGTTTGTTACCCAGTGCTGCAGCAACACCACCGCAGCTGGTGTGGCCGCAGAGGACTACGTGCTTGACCTGCAGGTAGCGGACAGCATACTCGATCACGGCTGAAGAGCTGAGGTCGCCGGCATGGATGACATTGGCGATATTGCGGTGGACAAAGACGTCGCCCGGCTTAAGACCGAGAAGGGTGGTCTCAGGGCATCGAGAATCAGAGCAGCCAATCCAGAGGATCTCCGGGTGCTGGCCGACCGCGAGTGTGGGGAAGAGCGAAGGGTCCTCCTTGGCAATCTGCGCTGCCCAATCCTTGTTCTGATGCAGAGCAGAGGTGAAGCGATCTGAAGAGGCAATATTAGCACACGCTGGTGGCTTGGTGGCTGAAAAGCAAGCGATTTGTCGATAAGGGTTTGTGACTGGGTGGGAAAGAAAACGGCGAGGGGTATGAGGAACACCGACTCCACAGCCCTTATACAGTTGTCGCAGTCGCAAAGCAAGCCTTGTGGAATTCATCATGGGGTGAAAGGGTAATGGGGAACAAGGAAGAAGGGTTTGCTCAACCGGAAAACAGCAAAAACGCAGTCAACAAAGGATGAGTTATCTGCCTGTGCACGGGGGGTGGGCTTTGGAATCACGGAGCCATATCCAACAATCACGATCTTGCTCTGGAGGTTTGCATACGCCAAATGAAACTGCGGTACAGGAACAAGGATGCAATGATACATGCAACTTCACAGTGCTCATGGAGTTGGGGAGGGTGGGAAAATCGTGGGTCGCCGCCTCTTTGCGAATTTGTCCAGGAACGTGTCCAGGAACGCCAAGAAAACATGGCTCTTGAGTTTATGCTTGCTCACGTACCTGTGCTAGTGGTCGATGCCATGATAGCTGATGTGGGAGAGAAATGATTGAGGAGGTTTTGCAATGATATTACGGTCGGATAGTTGGATTTGGATGCTATGGAGTAATCTGAGCTGGCAAAGGGGCACTCCTTTTCTTCTCCCCGCCGGAATCCGGGGGAGATTCTCCTGCCACTTCCAGGCCTGCAAACAGTGCAAACACCCACCACGTGAGGGTCTCACCGGAGCCCCGAAAGTGCCGTCGGTCATGCTACTCTCTAATCATGCGATCACAGATAAGCGTCGAATAATTGTCTGATCGCTGTTTCTCTATCTCTTCCTCGGTTCCACTGCCATTCAAGCCACGATGGAAGCCCGAGGGACTCGCAAACGTCGCATGACACCGCTCGCGATTCTAAGGATTTTTCCAGCAAAGACCATCGATATGGCTCAGTATGCAGGCAGGCGCGGCTCGTCTGATTTCCTGATGTCTTGTAAAATCACACAACTCGCTCTGCTTCCCTCCGCCCGGTCCTGCTCGATTCGACTCAAAAGTGACCGCGGTCTGGCCTGGCAATTCCGCAGCCTACGAATATGAATTGCCTGTGTCGTAAGCAGAACGCGGCACCCCGATTACGCTTCGCTCTGCATTGCCCCCCTTATAGCCTTTAAAGTCATCCATTGTTGCAGCGGTCCCATCGTGTTGATGACAGGAGACCCGACCCTCGATTTAAAGGTGAGTGGGCCTTTTTGATCTGAAAGGGTCCTCAGGACCTAAACCCCGCGGGGTGTGTAGAGCTGTAGACCCCCACGTAAGAGTTGGTCTCACCCTGAAACCCGCAAAGTATCCTATTCAACTACGCTTATTCGGGTAGAGAGTTAAATAGTGTCCTATTCAGTCAACATTTTACGACATAACGGCTGTGAATTGTCATTCCCTTAGCTGTACCCATGAATAGCATGAATAACAATCGATGCACTCCGCAACGAGCCACTTATGCTGTCTTCTCGATATACTGGCTGAATATCTGGCCGATCTGTTTCGCACTGTCCTTCGGAATCCTCTTCTGGCCATGCTCATAGTCGACGTAGGTCGACCCAAACCGGGTCTCGTAACCTTCAGCCCATTCGAAGTTACTACTCCAGTCAGTAAGCCACATAACAACATACAGGGAATAAGTATATCGCAGTACTCACTCCATCAAACTCCAAGCCATATAAGCCCGCACATTCACCCCATCCAACGTATAGGCATCCGCCATAGCAGCAATATAATCACGGAAATACTGCGTCCGGAACTCATCCTTCAGCAGCTCCTCCACCGGCAAGTCATTCTCGCCCTTCAAGCTCGTCCCATTCTCCGTAACATAGATCTTAGGCTGACCATACCGATCACTCAGCCATTTCAACAGCTTCCGGAATCCAAGTGCATACGGTCTCAGCCATGCAGACTGTGTTTCTGGGCCGATGAACTCGCCCTTCTTGTTCTTAAGCAGGATCTCCAGATTTCCAGCGGTATCGTCGGGATCCGCCTCACCGGTTTTGGCTTTGATGTAGTTAGCGCAGTAGTGGTTCATGCCGTAGAAATCATTGCTGCCGTGGACGAGAGCGATGTCTTCTGCGGTCCAGCTTGGGAGTCGGTCCCCGAGCTGCTTAACCATGCTGTCTGGATACTTTCCGTGATAGATGGGGTCGGCGAACCATGAGATGGCGAATTCGATCTTGCGGTCGCAGGCTTCGACGTCCGCTGGATTCTCGGGGTCCCAGGGCTCGGCCCAATCTCCTATATATGAAAAGTTAAAGAGAAGTAATTGAGAAGAAGTGTCCAAACATCTATACATACCGTTAAGCGTAATACCTATCTCCCCACCATCTCTACTCTTAAACTCCTCCCGATAGATCTTCACCGCAGCCCCATGAGCCACAAGGATATTATGTCCTACGATCCAGCACTCCCTCGAGCTATCCCCCTCGGCGCTCTTACTCCGATCACTCGTCCGACCCGGAGCAAATTGCCCGACATTATACCCAAGAACACTACTACACCACGGCTCATTGAAGGTAATCCAATGCTTGACTTTTGAGCCAAGGGCCTGGAACATGACTCGAGCGTAGTGTGCGAAATCCGCTACGAACTCCTCCTTGTTCAGGAGTCCACCGTACCGCTTGTCGAGTTCATCGGGGAGATCCCAATGGAAGAGTGTCACAAGAGGTGTGATCCCCGCTGCTAGGAGATCGTCGACAAATCTGACGTAGTGCTGCACTCCCTTTTCGTTGATGGGGTCGTTGCGCCCTCCCAGGGGGATGATGCGCGACCTGGAGGATGGATGGTTTAGACTGATGTTCGGGGTTGTGATTGAACTGAATGTTTGTCATGGTGTAGTATTTTACTCACCATGAGATTGAAAAGCGGTAGGCTTGAGCTCCGCATTCTTTTAGCAGTGCGATGTCCTCGGCTGTGCGGTGGTAGGAGTCGCATGCTATATCTCCGTTGGCGCCTCCGGCTATCCTGCCCGGGATCTTGCAGAATGTGTCCCAGATGGATGGACCACGGCCGTCTTCGGTTACGGCGCCTTCAATTTGATAGCTGTGTAGAAGTGAATTAGTACTCTACTGGTTGACTGGTTGAAGTGTAGTATTGGTTGTGCGGAGGGGGTGGGGATGGAAGGATACCTGGCAGTCGCGAAACCCCAGAGAAAATCCGGAGGCAAGGTTGAGGTTGTTGCTGAACCCATGTTCTGAAAAGTGAGAGATTATCCGACAAGTTGAAGAAGGATGGTGGTGTTTAGATTGAGAAAGAGATTGATGTCAGAAAGGAGCGAGGATGGGAGGTTTATAGGATGTTTATATAGATCATGATGTTGGATGTCCGCCAAGGAGGATGAATCCGCGCTAAAGAGAGTGGGGAAAGCGGGGAGGATAGTACGGACATCAAGGAAAGAAATTGGTCGGATCCTTCCTGACTTCAAAAATACTATCAACTGATTGAGGACTAGTGAGTATCATGGAGGGAGAGAAGATGCTGGGGAGGATGACGGCTGGACGGGCCGACCTCCGAAGTGTAACAGGCATAGCGTGATTGTAGTGGTTACTACTACTATATACTATCAACTAGTAAGAACTACTAACACTACCATGATGGAACCACTGATGACTGGCTTGCCAAGATATAACAATGCTGTGACTGAATACGCCCAGATTCCATTTTCTATTTATGATCATCCCCTCCTTAAGAACCAGGCGTGGTTGTGCGTTGAATATGGATTTCCGCTAGGGCATGAGAGTCGATTGATGCCTCTGCCAGGTTTCAAGGCGGGACTGGGTGACGTATTACTATTCACCACGGGATTCTGATCCACTCTCATGGCAATAAGAACACTCTGACTCTGGTCCATGGATACCTTTAATGCTCAGCTCAGCTATATTTCATTGGTTTGTATTTATTGTTCTTACTACTTGTTGTTGATGAAACACATTGGTGGCCGAGTAATAGCCGTGGCGATGGACCGCGGAAGCATCTGTTTGCATCCACCACTGCCAAGTCTACTCTGTAGAACTGGACCACCTTCAGCATTCAACACGCGTGTGAGCCGAAGTGCTCGTGAATGGGGAAGAAGGCGGCCGCGGGCTACTTTATGAATCAAATACCAAGCGAGCATGTTTGGCAGGCACGTCAGTTTGAGACAATTCTTGCAATGGAGCACGATTAAATGCGACTCCGAAGGCGCCATCAACAGAGCTGAATAGTGGCAAGCTTGAAGTGAATCGTTGTTTCAAACACACGATTCCGAGTCAGAGCATCACCGGCAGTATCGGACCAAGATGAACGGAGCAGAAAGCTACCGACGGGGTCATGCATGACACTGAGCCGAGGAAGCAAGGGGAGATCTAACAATGCGCTTGCAGAAATTTTCCGAGACCCCCTAGATCGATGGCAGACACTTTAAGAGTGTGGAATCTGTCGTGCTCGATGAATGCCTATTCATAAGTACCTGATGTCATCTGTGTAGGAGCTGAGGCATCTTAGATACAGGCAGCCCGGTCATTCCTCTGGGGATAGACGCGTGCGGGTGAATGTTTTCTTGAAGATACTAGAGCTCCCTGCCACGTACTACTGGGGATTTGTTACTGCTACAGTACTATTCACTCGGCAGATCTTTCGGTGGTAAATTCTAATAGAAAAACAGAAGGCCATTCATAGACGGTCTGATCGGTTAGTTGTAGAGTTCAGCGCAGTCAAGCCTCCATTGCCCTGGTAAGAAGGAAATTACAAGAATCTAATTTTGGCTACACACCATGATAAGGCATCTAAAAAGCGAGCGATCCAGGTGCTACGATATGTTAGATAGCATGAGATAAACCAGTCTGTAAAGCAGACCTTACGCTGCCAGCATACCGTACGAGGAAAAGTGTTATCATGAGTGCTCTTATGAACGGAGACGGACGGCCAATTCCAAGGCAGCGTGATGATGAGTATGATGCTTATCTGTTAACTTCTGAATCCGAAGCATTCCCATTAGTGAGGTGTACAATTCAGTGAGAAGCATCCATCAGGATGGAATGGATTCTGGGGTGGTCCCCCTGCTGTGCCTTGTTTTGCAGGGACAAGGGGATGGCCGAAACCGTCTCCGCCTCATGGTATCTAATGACTCGAGGTCGAGGGTCTGCCATGAAGAAACAGGTTAGGGAATCGGTACGAGCCGTCCGCGGGAGCTCCATACGTACCACGCACTATTTGTTGGGGAATTGTTTTGATATGATAGTGGGCTATGATGTCGAGGATGATCACGGAGTGGCGTCCGATCGGAGCAAAGCTAAGGATGGGAGGGAGGGACGGATGCGGGCAGTTCTCGGCCAGCAAGGGCCTAGGCTAGACTATACCTTACTATGCGGGCCGGTCTCAGCGCACCGGCATGTCTATTGTTGTTATTATTATTTAATTCTCTTCGAAAGACAAAAGGTTATTGCTAATGCTGTCTAGAATGTTAGGCTTGGACGCAAGCACAGCGCTGCAATGATTAACTAACTAGTCAACCAGTTAAGTCTCAACCTGTAGTCAGTCAGTAGCCTGAATCTTTTTAGGGCGCGATCGCATTGGATCCTCCCGAAGATGTGGGGAGTTACGGTGGGGGGAAGTGGATGTATAGTAAGAAGTAGTGGTATACTATCTAATACATACTGGTATAGATAGTAATAACTGGTGTTTACCACTTACTTTGGGTAGATAACCTCAACCAGGCCATAAACAATCCAATTGAGCAGATTGTTTGTTTGCGGTAGGGTGGAACAAATCACGTGCAGCGAGAGCAGCCCCGGAAGCGAAAGCGATCGAAGATCGAGATCGGAGACGCCCAATCCTCGCCTCATTCCACCCTTCCCATCCCTGCTGAGGAAAAGAACTAAAGAGATGGTTCCGAACACCATGAGCACCCTCGAGTCAATATCGCTACCGCATTCCTCTGCATTCCACTCCTTAGGCCGACATTCTGGCCCGAGTTCGGTAAACCATCTTTCTATCCAGCTCGGCCGAAACCTGCCCCAATTCCACCATGATAACAAGCACAAGAACAAGCATGGCTCCCCATACATATAAGTCCCGCCTCGACCGGCATCGAGATCTCACATCATATCCATCGCACATCTCGATCCACTCAGAGCGGGTTAGTCAACTCATTGATCATCCGCCGCTCCCTTTCCTGGCACTTCGCCCAGCATGAAGTGGTCCCAGCTCAACACGCTGGTTCTGCCAGTCCTGTCATGCCTCGTCCAACTCTCCTCTTCCCGCGTCGTGGATTTTAGACTCGACTTGACATGGGAGGATAGCAATGTTGCGGGTATCTCCCGTAAGGCAATTTACACCAATGGCCAAGTCCCAGCACCAAATCTCCGCGTGAATCAAGGCGACCAGGTGAGAGTTCTGGTCAACAACTCTATGCCATTCGGCACCACAGTCCACTGGCACGGTAAGCCCATCGCAGTGCGGCAATCCGCATATCCCAATCCTCGGCCCTGTTCTTTCGGTGAGATACTGACCCACAGACTAGGTATCGCTCAGTATGGCACCCCATGGTCAGACGGGGTCCCGGGCCTTAATCAAGAGATGATCAAGCCTGGTGAGCAATTCTACTATGAATGGACAGCCACAGATTATGGCTCCTATGCCTATCATGCCCACACAAGAGCCCAGATGGACGACGGTCTCTATGGTGCCATCTATGTGGAACCGCGTGCAGACGTGCAGAGACCGTTTAGCAAGATCAGCAGCATCCCGTATGAACTCAAAGCCATGCTGCAAGCTGAAAAGAACACCCAACCAATCATGCTCTCCGATTGGCGATCTTTCACGTCCGAGGAGACTTTGCAGATCGAAGAAGACTCTGGAGTTCAGGCGACCTGTACTAGTGCCATCCTGGTCAATGGTAAAGGGTCGGTTATCTGCCCCCCGCAGGACCACATCAATGACCTCACCCGATCGGGTGAATGGACTGCGCTTGGAAATCAAACCATGTCTGATACGGGGTAAGTCTATTGTCTTCTTCATTCTCAATCTCTTAATTCCTTTCCTTTCTTTCTTGTCAGTATCGCTGCATGTTATCGGCCGATTCACTTACCATGTATCAGCTGTATGCCACCCCTTGCAGCCCGTCTGGGCGGGTTCCCGTTCAATATAACCAAGATTCCGCCGGGGTACTACCAGGGTTGTGTACCGACCGTTGGGGAGCAGGAAGTGCTTTCCGTCGACCCGAGGACCCGATACGTCAGCTACGACCTTATCAGCCTACCTGGCACGTCCAACTTGGTTTTCTCCATCGATGAACATCCTATGTATCTCTATGCGGTCGATGGCCGCTATGTCGATCCCCTAGTGGTCGATGCTATCAACGTCTACGCCGGATCGCGGTACTCGGTCCTTGTGAAGCTAGACCAGCCCATTAGCATATATACCGTCCGCGTTGCTAACAAGTTCGCAAACCAAATCATCAACGGCACCGCCCTGATGTCCTACACTGGCTCCAATCCAAGCCAGTTCAACACCTCCACACGTTACATCAACGAAGTTGGTACCGCGGCTGGTATCAACGGCACTATCATTCTCGACGAGGCCCAAATCGTCCCATTTGAACAGGAGGCGCCTGCTCCCGAGCCAGACCAGACCCAGATCCTTCAAGTCAACCTCTATAACGCCTCCTATCGCTGGACCCTCGGCCAAGCCAGTTATCCCATGGCCAATGAGGATCTCACTCCCCCTGCACTGTTCAACTACTCCTCAATCCCGGCCGAATACACTGTCATGACCAAGAACAACACCTGGGTAGACATTATCTTCAATATGACCTCGATCGGGCAGCCGCAGCACCCGATCCACAAACACTCCAACAAATTCTTTGTCCTTGGGTGGGGCGCCGGGGTATGGAAGTGGTCTACTGTGGCTGAGGCAATGAAAGAAATCCCTGAGAGTCTCAACTTGGTGAATCCTCAACTCCGCGACACCTTCCAGACGCCGGCATCGACACCGAACCATAGCTGGTTAGCGATCCGCTATCATGTGGTCAACCCCGGTCCGTTCTTTATGCACTGTCATCTGTCTATGCACGAGAGCGGTGGGTTAGCTGTGGCCCTGTTAGATGGGGTGGATGCGTGGCCGACGGTACCAGACCGGTACCAGTTGCCAGCGTTGGCGGACCCGGCGGAGAACACCCCGGCAACGCATGGATTGATGGATCATCCTGGCTTTGACTGATTGACCATCCGTCGGGCTGACTGTTTTCTTCACTACCATTCAACATCTTGCATATAGCCGGCGTTCTCGCGATGTGTGAGCGGCTTAGGGCGTTGGGATTTTTTCAGTGGGTTCTATTCTGTTCTTGCTTGGCGGATCTTCATGCATTGTCCTGACATATTTACATGTTGTTCCCTGGCTCTTTTTCGGTGTTCATTTGAGACTATTAATTATCTGGCATATACTTTGAAGATGGACATGGGAATCAGCTGTCGTTAGCATGCATCTCTTCTATATTCTTTCAATACAGCGTACGCAATTCGCTTTGCATGACTCGTCAGAGGAGCACCTTTCAACATGCTCCGCCACCCATAATACTAGTACCTGCTATACTTTTATTTCGCGAGTGCAGCTATGACTTGGTAGTTGAACTCACAGTGAACGTCATATGCAATACTACCCCTCTGCGCGATACACACACTCACCCATACAGATAGTATTTATTTATCAATTCATATACCACCATCACTCCCCTACGATGTTACAATATAGAAAAACATCCAACAGAGACTGCACTGAATTGGTAGACAGTCTAGACTGCGACTAGTAGAGTGAGGCATGGATATCCAGCGACCACGCACTGAGATCAAGAGTTAGATATTACTACTATCTTCTAAGTCCAATATCAGCGCTCCCTGCGTACAAACCGCATGCTACCACATGCCACTACATAATACTCTATCTATGTGTACTTCAATTGAACGAGTTTTTTTCAAGCTGGAAAGTGGAATGTATTGTATTTCTCCTAATTCACCCTTGTGTATGTAATGCACCCGCAACCCCGAACAGAGTTAATGAACATGGACCTTTACCTCCTACAAGGTGAAAAAAAGAGTTTCTCCATACACCAAGAACGTCTGCCCTAAGCCCCTCAGTTACTCCGCTATCCATCATTCGATGGCTACCATAAGCACGTATAGCCGCGAAAGAAAGAAGGTCAACACCACGCAACGCGCAGCCAGTACACCCAACACAAACCTTAATCAATTCTCTGCGTTTTATGCATGCATGCATGCATGTATTGATGTACCCCCTTCCCAGCAATCTAAATAATCGCGTGGCTGGGCAAAAGGAAAGGAACCATTCAATCCCCCTGCATTGGGGATTGAACGCGATTTGCCTCCCCTCTTTTCCCCAAAGCAAGGGATGAATCGCCGTACGCGGAAAAGAAGGCGAGTTATGTAAATAAACCTGGCATTTTGCCCTTGGGGAAGGACAGACACATTCTTAAATATGTGCTACGCTGTTCTCTGCACTATTGCTGCTGCAGCATGCGATTGAGTGTCTCTTTATTTTTTTTTTTTTACCATCAGTTGACTCCTATCAGTGAGTGAGATAGATACGAATATCATCATCATCATCATCATCATCATAATCATCCAGCTTTCGCTATCGCTATCATGTATTCTTTCAAAGCCATCACCCTATTGAGCACGCTGCTTCTGGCTGGGGTTGGGAGTGCGAGGTTGAGTACGACTGTACGTGCCCTTTTTCTTAATTACTTACTTAAAAGCGTGTCTGATTACCCGAGCTATATTGGATGAATTAAAGGATAAGGTCACTAACTGACTACTGTATACAGATCGGTCTAGAGACAGACGAAGGCAGCCACTCGGTTCAGATCCCCTTCGATGACTGTACTCAGGTTGGACAGTTGTAAGTTGAATCTCCAACTAATATCGACTTCATTTGATATAATATTATATATACTTGCAAAGAGAAAAGAAAGAGATAAAAGGCAGATTGAATTAACAAGAGTTTTTTATTACCCGTCACAGTGAAGTTCGAGGCGTGTTCCTCTCCAAGAGGTGTCGTCTTTTCACGTAAGTGTGGTTTCTTTTACTAAGATACTTGACTGTCCATAGTAGTGCATACTGACTTGAACATGTATGCTATAGCGGAGTAGGCTGCACCGGACGAAACACCCTCCTGCAGCCTGGTGAACATACCTCGTCGGAGCCGGTTTATGTCGATAGTGTGCTGTGCTACCCGTGAAGGGACATACTTGGTTGTTCTTGGGGTGGGAAATGGGGGTTTGGGGGTGTATAATAGGAGTTGAGGGATGAGTTGATGAATGGATGGGAATTATGGTGCTATGTGTTATACTAAGTGAATGGTAATTGTTGGAGGTGGAATTCACATCTTGCCATGTTTATTGATTTCGGTAGAAACCTATCGGAGGCTGGGTAGGAGATATAGAGGGCAGTGCACTATTTATGATCCTCAGAGGTAGGAATGGATTGATGGGGGGTACTCAATGTACCATCTCAGCCTTTCATATTGTATGTGTGTGTGTAGGTCGTAGGTCATAGATGATGTGCAGATGAGCTCCTGTGGAAGGCGACCTACTGCACGTAAGTTCGTGATAGCATATCACTTGCTGCTCCTGAAGGAACTGAGTCCCACGGAATTACTTTCTGGTTTCCGGTACGATGCAGCGGTCCATGTGACTACAGGCTATAGCCGTGTTTACCAGGCATCTTGACTGGTTTCCTTTCCGAGACACCACCCCCGATGACTCGTGTATAATCTGCTCATCTCAACATCACTCCTTTTTCCTCCCCTCCAGCACACGCATCACATCCGTCACACTGTCCTTGTCGCCCTTCTTCTTCTTCGGCCCTCGTTTCCTCTTCTTCCCGCCGCGTCCCTCGGTCTCCAGTACCACTTCCTCGTCCTCCTCGTCGTCGTCATTGCGGCTTCCTCCAAAGCCCATGTCCATATCCATGGCATCCAGGGCTTCCCGCCGACGCGCCTCCTCCAGGAACCTCTTTCGTCGAAGCGCCGTCTCGTCGTCGACATCTCCGGCGTCACCATCAGCAGCACCAGCCTCCTCAGATTGTCGTAACGCAGCAGCCCGTTTCAGAGCCGCCAGTAGAGTAGGATCTTTAGCCAACGGGTTCGACCGGTCCACTTCAGGAACTTCATCCGTCGTAGACGTAGAAAAGTAATTTCGCGGCCGGCTTGTTGTCACCTCCGGTTTCTTCGTATCACCGGCAGCAGGGGATGCTTCCGTGGCCTTCGGTGGCTTCTCACCATCCTCACTCTCATCTGACGAGTCATCGTCATCTGATAAATCACCAAGCGGATTATAGTCATTTCCAACGCCAGCAAAAATATCATCGTCATCATCCTCCGCCAGCGCGGGAGCCTTGGATGCAACCTCTGCTGGAACCTCCATGCCCAGCGGCTTCGCATCCTTGTCCGGCATCAATAACCCAGCAGGCCCATCACCAGAACCAACCTCACCAGGCTTGTCTAGCCATCTCACCTTCCTCTTCGTCTTGCCCTCCGCGTCCGTGATCTGTAGAATCTCCTTCCTTCGCCCATTCTCATCCTGCTCCACCCAACGCTTCTTCTCCGCCTTAGACTCTCCCCCGATCCTTTTAAACTTAGTCCCCAACGCAGGCTCAGCCGGCTTCGCCGCTTCAGCCGCAGCAGCAGCCCGACTGGCCTTCAACTCCCTGAGAATCTCGTCTCTTGATTTTCTCTGAGCCATGACGCCCTTCTTCTTCTCCTTAGTCTCCTTCGGGGCAGCAGACAATGCATCCACCCCCTCGCCCTTTTCTCCCAACACCCGATCCAGCTCCTCATCCACATCTGCCACATCTTCTTTTTCCTTCCCCTCACCCTTCTCCCCTTCCTTCTCCAAGACATCAACATCCTCGCCCCCCTTAACCCTCCTCAGCAACTCCCAATCCAACCCCTTGACCATATGCGTACTCTTCAAATCCCCACCCACCCCCATTTCGGCACGCAGATTCTCAAACGTGGCCTGGTCAATCTGTCCTAGCTTGACCATCTCCTCCAACGCCTTGACACGCTTCTCCAGATCCGACACATCGCCACCGCCATCTCCCCCTTCTTCCGCTTCTTCCTTCTGGCGCAACAATGCAGCCCGATCCTGATATCCCGACGGTAGTTTCGTTCCCTTGGGGGCGGCGGAGGATTTGAACTTCTTGGAAGCGGGTTGGGCTTCGCGGCGGTATTCGGCTAGTTGGCGCGCAAAGTCGACGTTTGTTAAGGCACGGCTGCGACGAAAAGGTGGTTAGTAATGTCAACCTTTTAGAATGAAGGTTACAAACGCAGGTGGTGTTTGAGGGGATCAGCTCACGGAGTCATGGGGATGCTGGAGCGGAGGCGCGAGCCCAGAGCGCCGGCTGCGGGGGTCGCATTGCCGATGCTTTTGCGTGGTTGTGGTTGGGATGAAGAGGATGCATCTGGACTGGTGGATTGGGCGGCGGGTTTGGAGGAAGGATTGTCGAGGACAAGGCGACGGAATTGGTCGTTGTTCATGGCTGGATGAAAATGAGATGCGATGGATGCGATGGATGCGATGGACGCGATGCGATGCGGAGGGCGGAGGTTGTCCAACAGTGATGTGGTTTTGGGAAGGAGTATCCTTTCCGGGGAGGTTTGAAGAAGTGGACGCTATTGACACATGTCTCACAGTAAGATGCGCGTTGTAGGAGAGACTTGGTTTGTAGCGGGTTCAATGAAGATGGGGAAATGTCGCGGCTTCATTCGAAAGATGTTCAGACGTCAGGTGCTTGGCATCGGCGTCCGCTGGGACTGAAATGCCTGAGGCTGACTACCTAAACTAGATACAAAATTACCACACTTTTGTGAAGGATCATGTGATTGACTATTTTTCGAAATATAACGGTATGCAAAATGGGGGAGAAAAGCAGCGGGAGATTGATACGACTAATAAGCCCTCCAACGGCCTCAAGGGAGGCTCCCAATTTAGGCAAAAACTACTAATTACTTTGTCCTACAGATGGCACCCAAGCTAAATAGTTAGCATTTTAGTTAAAATACTTTATTTCTTCTATTTTAATGTTAAAATTAATTCATTATTTTTTTCTGACCTAAGAACCTACTGACTATTAATATTAAAAGTCCTAAATGATCATTGACTATTAAAATGGTATAATATGCGATATCCAACTTTAAACACAAATTACCCTAAAAGAAAAAGAACGAGAATCCTTTCGATGATCTAGATTGATTACTATCAGAAACTAGTCTAGTTGCGGAGGATTGAACAGGAAGAGAGAATCATATCAGGCCATAAGCTCCTCTCTTTCCTCTTTCTCCCGCGCGCGCCCTTTTTGTCCCTTTTTCACATGTCACGCCACTCCCTCCAACTTCCCTGCTGTCAATCCAAACTCTCCAACTTTCCTTCCAGCACTTTTTCTCCCTCATCCCTGCCTCATTGCTGCCTGCTTGTTTTCGCAGCATTATTTACCCTCCATCTCTCTCCTCCGATTCACGGCCATCGAAATATGCCCTTTGCATCCCGCCATTCTTCCTTGTCCTCTCGATCCTGACCTCCCTTGACTTTCCACCTCCGCGATCCCCCCCCCCCCCCCCCCGTCTCCCGCAAAAATGGCCGCCGCTGTTGTCGCCAATGGCCATACCACCCCCTCTGCCGATGTCGCCAAACAGCGCAGGCTAATTCACCACCATGCTGATGTCGTGATTGTGGGCGCCGGAATACTGGGATGTGCATTGGCTGTGGCACTTGGAAGACAAGGGCGTAGCGTCCTGCTGCTGGAGGCGTCCATGAAGGAGCCTGACCGGATCGTCGGAGAATTGCTACAGCCTGGCGGTGTTGAGGCGCTTGAGAAATTGGGTCTTGCCGATTGTCTGGAAGACATTGACGCCATCCCAGCCGAGGGCTACTATGTGTCGTACTTTGGGAAACCCGTCTCGTTCACCTACCCCAAGCCCTCCCCGTCGTCGCCCGCCCCGCAAGGGCGTTCTTTCCACCATGGCCGCTTCGTCATGAAGCTGCGAGCTGCCGCGCTGGCCTGTCCCAATGTCACGGTCGTAGAGACCAAGGCCACCGACTTGGTCACTTGCTCCCACACCAAGCAGGTTCTTGGTGTCGAGTGTGTGACCGGCGACACGAAGGATTGCTACTTCGGCCATCTTACGGTGGTGGCCGATGGCTACGCCTCTAAATTCCGCAAACAATACCACTCCAACACCCCTAAGGTCCGGTCCAGGTTCTGGGGCTTGGAGTTGATCGATGCAGACCTTCCCAAGCCTTACCATGGCCACGTCCTCCTCAGCGATAATGCCCCTATCCTCGTCTATCAGATTGGCACCCACGAAACCCGCATCCTCGTCGACATCCCAGAAAACCTCCCATCGGCCTCCGTCAAGAACGGCGGTGTCAAGAACCACCTTCGCAGCGTCGTTCTCCCGTCCCTTCCTAAATCTATTCAGCCTTCATTCATTGCTGCGTTAGACAAGGGTCAGCTGCGCTCTATGCCGAACTCGTATCTCCCTAGTGCGCCGAACAAGACTCCTGGTCTGGTCATTCTAGGAGACGCGCTCAACATGCGGCATCCACTGACCGGTGGAGGAATGACCGTCGCATTCAACGACGTTGTGGTCCTACGTGACCTGCTCAGCCCGGAGAAAGTCCCCACCCTCGCTAATCATGAACAAGTCCTGCGACAGCTGTCCTCCTTCCACTGGCAACGGAAGAAAGCATCCTCAGTCATCAACATCTTAGCGCAGGCTCTCTATGCCCTGTTTGCTGCCAACGGTTCGTTTATCCTCTTCCCCATGGCACCCAGAGTCCCAGCAGCTAACGCCAGACCCCCTCCGGGGCACATCTAGACGAGAATCTGCGTGCTCTTCAACGAGGCTGCTTCCATTACTTCGAGCTAGGAATGACCAGCGGCCCAATTGGTCTTTTAGGTGGGCTGATCAAAAAGCCAGATGTTCTGTTCTGGCATTTCTTCAGTGTCGCCTTTCTCTCTCTCTGGCTCGTCATCACCGAGCATCCCTTTTACATGCTGCCTCTAGCCTTCCTGAGATGCATTATGGTTTTCTGGACCGCATGCGTTGTGATTTTCCCCTACATGCTGATAGAGGCATTCTGCTAAAGGGGAAATCGCCGCTGCCGTCACCATCATCAGCAGCATCATCCTCCTCATTTACCCTACATGTCTTCCCCTAACTTCATCCTACCTTTTTATTTATACCTAATGAACCCGCACCGGGTTAATTCATTTCAATGAGTTGCAAGTGCCGAAGAAGCCATGACCCCTTATCCCGTACATATGTATTTATCACACCAGATCTGATCACTTTTTTCTTTGTCATATATATTCATTTCTTGTGTCACCTTTTAATATCTCCGGTCTCTTGCTGCTGATTCTACGTGTATTATTAGAGACTTATTTCTTATCTTGTTGCTCCAATACTACTACTACCTGTATCTTCTAGATTCTGTACATACGATAGAATTGATCGATCGTCTCTCCGAAAAATGGCAAAGCCCGGACGCATAATCTGCAGGATGTTTACACCGGAGGTGATTCAGGATGAAATCTTCTTCTGGGTGATGGGATGGAAGGAATAATGTCAAGTTAGTTCAATTATTATTCAATGTTCAGTGGTAACCACAGCATTTTTTCTACAGGGAAAGAAGACCTGATGGTAGAAATCACATGTATAGTATGTAAATTTTCAACGTCTACATTTGCACCTCTTTCCCCCCAACCCAACTGCCCAAACCCATGACCGATGTGGATGAATATGTAACATAGGCAATGAAAGAACAAGAAGAAAAAAAAAAAAAAAGGAAACAGCATCTCTTGTCAACTAATCGACACACGCACGCAAAAACAAGAAACTGTGAAAGTCAAACCATATGAACCCGCTCGCCCGGCTCCCTGCTATGATGGTATATTGACAATGACAATGACAATGACAATGATAAGAATGATGATGTTGGTGATGATGATGACGGTCATGCCGATGGACTATAATCTTCAAAAGCGGACGAAAAGAAAACTAAAACAATATGATGAAGAAACAAAAACGGCGAGGAGACCAATTCGGCCAGACGAAGGAAGAAGAACGGGCCATCTAGGCCATATGCCATTCCGCTTCAATTTTGGTGTCTTTCAAATCAGCTGACACTTCTTTTTTATCTTCCCCCTTGGAGCTCAATGGCTTCCGCGGGGATATTTCATTTGGTCTGCGTATGTGTTTTTTTTTTTGCGTTTCGCTGCCCTCTATGCAGCACCATTGCAGGGAGCAAGGGGGAAAGATGATACAGCCGGTATGCAAAGTCGTATGGACCCAACAGCCTGGGGGAAGCCCTCAATCACAACCCAAAGGAGTCAAATGTAAACTCCAAACCACATCAAAACAAAACCACAACGTATAAAATGACATAGAGGACGGGGCAACATATATCATATGCAATTCTCACAAGTAACCCATGGTAACCAGCCAAACCCCCCTGACTTGCCAATTTTCCGTTATTTAACCGTGCAAAACGCCAATATTGAACATGAAAAGAGAAAAAAAGGACGGATGAAAAGTGTCATGTACTTCCATAACATGTAGCAAGAAAACAAGTGCAACCGAAATCATGTCATTTGCAAGAAGAGGACGCCGCCTCATTTATACAGTACCATGGAACATCCCTTCAGTTGAACGAAGGGTTCGATAGTATACTCAAGCACTCCCCCCAAAAATAAACGCACTTGTAAAACCGTAGCACAGGCTGTACAATAGGCATGAATGTAACAGGCTATATGGCCGCCAGGAAGCTCTCTACCCGATGCTGGTTCAGTAAACAGACCAACCCGGTATGTGTTCCCCAACCAAGCACAACAATGGCTCAGCTTGGCCGAAGGTATCGCGCGTGCGGCCTGTGCTAGATAAGGCTGCTGGAGGCAACGCAACACGGACAACAGATAATGCTCACGATGACACATTATCTGATGTTTTCAACCCCCCTTTCTCAATGACTCATCTGCTGGGAGGGGCTCCGCACCACTATGCAAGCCATGCCTGTGTTCTGTTGAATGTCTGGCATTCTTCTTCGGCTTCCTTTTGGTCGTCTGCCAACCACCACCGGCATGAGCAACCGCGGAGTCTGGTGTCGAACTGACCCCGTTAGACTTTCGCGATTGAGTCATGGGATGCCGTTTCTCGTTATCGGTTGGTCCGGAAGGCGGATTGTGATTCTTCGATTTCGTTTTGTGTGAAACCCCGTTGGCCCGTTCAGAAGCATCCACGCCATTAGGCCGCCGTTTCCCACTGGAAGAAAAGTGCGAGTCCGCCGCTGGCGATGGCCCCGTGGTCAGTGGCTTTTCCCCTGAATTTACCTGTTTCGAGCGATGATTGTCTCTATCCGCCGCTTCGTAATTTGATTGCGGCACTTTCATCTTCTCGGTACTATTCTTCAGCTGAGGTTCGGACGTCTTTTCGGAGTTTGCGAGATGAAGGCTTTGCAATCGGCTCGAGAGCAGACTCTGCTTTGCACCGAGTCCATTAACAAAGGAATCAGCTGCTTTCCCTGTTTGGTGAATGTCAACCCCCTGACGACCAAAGTAGGGCGGCTGATCAATATCGACCGAGCTATTGTCCTGGTATTCATGAGACACAGAGTCTGAGACGCTCGCTGGTGTATCCATATTCAGGTCATCTGAATTCGACGTACAGTGGCTCATAGCCGTGTACGGATCATAGCTTTCCGCCGATACTGAGAGACGCTGTTCACTAGGGGGTACCGAGCCGTCCACGATCAAAGGTCCGCTCCGATCGCCCGATGCAGCTGGTCGCGATGTTGCACGCTGCGACGTCGACCCTGGTTTCGTTGGCAATGCAGAGCTGTTAACTGAAGCTTGACCGGTCGCTTCACTTGCCGGAATTGACGTCATATAATCCTGAGGGTTTGCAACAAATGGCACGACGCCGCCATTCTGCAATGCCAGTCCGACAGGAGACAGCGGCGATAGTAGAGCGTTTTGATGATACGTCTGTAGCTGCGGGGAAGTTGCAAGGTAATATCCCATATATTCATTCGGTCGGCATTCATCAAAATAGGTGGAACGAGACACGTTGGGAAGGCTGCTAGGCATAAAGGTGTTGTTCTCATCGCCCTGTGTACCGTCGGGGGAGCCTGGAGCATTGCGCGCCTTCGACCCCGGCGAGCTGTCCGCCATTTGAGAGATCGAATACAGTGGCGCAAAGCTCGGAAGGGAATTGACTGTCCGAGCCGGCTGTGAGTGTGCTCGGAGTGACCCACCCGGAGATCCGTTGGCAACAGATGATCGACGCGGGCTACGCCGAAGGTCCGGCATGGCAGCAGTAGCTGAAGGCGACGGCGGATTTGTGTTGCTCCCCTGCACGCCAGGAACTCCCACAGGGAGGTAGTGACTGTTGTAATACACGTTCTGGCGGTGCGGTGTGCTGAGAGGCGGATGGTTCACGGTGCCCGACCTTGATCGAGAGTTGTCGTCGCCAGAGGATTCTTGTTGCTGAGGCATTGGGAACTGAATAAACGGCTGGCGGATGAGAACCGGCGGCGGCCTCCCAGTGAGGAGCGCCTGGTTCTGCAGCTGCAGCCGCAATTCTTGTTCTTGGGCCTGCAGGATCTGTATTTGCTGATAGAGATGGTCATGCAAGAGATACTGTGCGTGCTGCGCTTGCAAGGAAAGCTCAGAGGCGGTCATACCGTTGGGTTGACGAAAGTTACCGGACTTATTTGGCGTGTTGGAAGCCCTACGACCACCGGAGTGCCCTCCTCGGGAGAACTGATTCGAATGTCGTCCGCCACGACCTCCGCCGCGACCTCCGCGGGACGGTGGCGGTGCTGCAGTGAGCACAGGACGCGGTTGGGGCGGCGGTCTCTCCCATGAGCGTTCTTCCTCCGGTGGATATTCGTATTGTTCGCAGCAGTGCTCCAGGTTCCCTTCGGAAACGGCTTGGAATGCCCGGCGCAGCTCCATATGGACTCCTCGAAACGATGTGTCGTCCGCTGTATTTCCCAAATTCCGTGAAGTATTGAAAGGCTCTTCCACACATAAACGGTTGTTTTGTAGCAGGTGCCAGCCTTTCGCCTCCTTCGACAAGAGCTTTCCCTCGCGGACAGATATCACATGCCGTTCGTAATCGAGTTCATGACCATAGTATTTGAAAAACTGAAAGAGAAGCTCTCCGAGGCTCTGCTTGTTTTTTCGCCCATAGCCGACTAGGGAATCGAGGTCATCATCAAAAGAACAAACTATCCCGTCCGCGGTCAATTTCTTCTTATGCGGCCGAGCTTGAAGGCTGGGCAAAACAGGCGGGTCTCGCGTTTGTAAGAAATTGATTATCAGGCAAATCCACGTGTAGGAGCTTAGTGTGCCTCCAAGGCCTGTGTGCGGACAGTCAGTCGAAAACTCGCTACAGTTGTCTGTCCAGAATCGACGACTCGACACATACCGGCATCGTTGAGGATCCTCCGTTTCGTCCAATGCTTGATTATCATAGCCAAGGGTCGCACGCGTTCGTCAAGTTCCACGTACGTCCGAACCATCCGCGTATTCTCCAGTGCCATAGTATTATTAACGTTCATGTCGCATGCTAATCGCAGCTCCGGATCCCAGATCTTCACGATAGGTACTTTGGCGTGCGATACGCAAACGACTCGTTCCATACCATCTGTACCCCAAATGATTGTCAGCGACTGCTTACACAAGGAAGGCAAATGGTGGTTCGCTTACGCCTGGCTAGTACCTCTGCCAAGAGGCATACGTGCTCAAGCTCCTTATAAGTGGTAGTTATACAGATGTCCACTTAATCATCGTTAGAACACACACACATAAAGTAAGCCGCGTTACCGAAACATACCGTCCGAGTCACTTGAACACAGCTTATTCCCAGACGAGCCAAAAACGTGAACCTTAATATTGCAGCCTGGCCACTGATCATTGAAGAGCTTCTCCAACTTGCGGACTAATTGACGTCGCCGGTCGTCGCTTTCTGCTGACGGCAGGAGCTGATCATATACCTCCAGCATGTCGGCGCTGAGTCTCTTCTCCTCCTCCGGCTCCAACCGCTCCTTGAGACCATCCTTTTCCTCCGGCAGCAGGTCGGCCCC